GGGGTTTTTTTTTTTTTTTTTTTTTTTTTTTTTTTTTTTTTTTGTATACTTTCTCTGTCTCTTTTTTGGACGTCTGAAAAACAAAAAAAATTGTTTGAAAAATGGCACCTCTACGTTCACCCATTGTTCGCAAACGAGTGAACAGATTGTCCGGTCTTCCTTGAAATGCCTCCTCTGACATTATCATTTTCATATATTTTCTCCCGAAGAGCACTACCACCAAAGAGGAGCCGAAGTGCAACCCCAAAATCGAGGATTTTTGCTCCCTGGAGATCTGTTGGAAAGCTCGATGAAGGCCTCCATGAGCTCTACTTAATCTTTTTATGAGGAAAAGATTGCCGAAAATCGGTATTCCTCTGGGGCCTGAAAGAAGAGGAATGAAAAAAATTACTTTTCTTACTGTGCAGCTACGTTGCAAATTATTCTGAGTGTGAGAAAAGACAAAGCGCCTTCATATTTTCCATATGCAACACTGACAACAATAGAGCAAGAATAGTTGTACTTCTGCAGGCGCATTACTATCGACATCGCTTTGAGTACAAATCTACCATCACCCTGTAAGAAGGGAGAGAGTTGCCCTTTTTGCGCAACTTCTTTCAAAATACAGTAGAGAGGGCCGATTTTTAAAACATTTTCGATAGTTTTATTAAAAATGTCAACAATAAATACCAATTCTATTCTGTGAAAAGAAAGACCTAGTAAAAGGTGATTTAAAACACGGACCGTGGGGAGGGGAGGGGGGCATGTTCGAAGTTGCTATGTCTTGTTCGGAGTTGCTTTGTCTTAATCAACGCCATTTTTGACAATGTTTACAATCAGGACCCGACGTCACCTAATCTGAAGTTCTGCTTGGCCAAAGTTTTTTAATTAAGTTAGAAATAACTTTAAAGAGACATTTTCTATTTGTCTACAACAATTTGTCGTACAGGTTTCTTGTGAACAAAAAAAAATTACTTGGCCAATTAAAGGCCACATAATTTTAAAATATAGTTACTCAGAATTAAGTCCATAATCCTCCCCCGAGATGGTAATTGAAACGCTCGAATAGCAAAAAAGTTCATACATAGGTGACATAGGTGGATTCATAAGTTAAACATAGGTGGATCCAGACACTTCGAACAGGGAGAGGGGCAGAGGAGGGGTCTGGGGAGCTTTCCCAGGAATGTTTTGAAATTTTAAAACATCTAACGTATATTTTGATTCACTTCTGTAATGAATAGTTAAAAACTACGAGCGCCCTTTCTTCCTCTTTCCTCCGTTCCTTTCTTCTCATTTTCTTCCCTTTTCCATTTTTTCAAACGAACGGGGGGAGGGGGCGCACGCCCCGTATCCCCCCTCCCTGCATCCGTCTATGTGTGTGGAAATTACATTTTCCACAATCTTTGAGGGTAAAGATTTATGAAAACACAACAATGAAATACTAATATAAACATATTTTTGCACTAGCAAAACTTACCTGGTGGTAACTTCGAGACTTTATCGCGAATTTTAATAAATATACGAAGATTACAGGAATAAAGGCGACGAAAATAATGTGTAATTGGTTCATAATAGAGAAATTAGCAAAAAATAGAGATGGATGTATTTGATATTACTTGTTAGAGACGACGTTTATATGTATCAATCTGAGAAATGCTGAGCTCCAACTGAATGAGGTATAGATTTCGTCAGAAGAATATATTCTCGAATTATAAGGGTCATTTCACTCTTGGCCTTGGCCCTGAGGCTTGGCTCAAGTATCAGGAGTAAGAAAACGAGTACGAAAAAAAATAATGTGAATATGAAGAAATCATGTGTCATCAGTAAACACAATTTTTTTTTAAATTTCAGTGCCTTCGGTTACAGATAATTTGGGGCTACCAGGCCCAGGAACGTTCCGACTGATAATGAGTTTCAATTCAAGGCGGCCAGGTTAAAGTCTGCGAATTTCGCATATTTGATTGATTTTTCGGCATCAGTAGATCTTTGGCGCCTCATTCAGGCAATGATAATCAGAAATTTACCGCTGAACTTTTTTTGTGATACAATTTTACCGTTTTAAACTCTTTTTTTAAAAAATCAATTTTATAATACATTCTGTGTTAGACAAAGAAAATGTTGAAGTAGATTTACGTAGTTTTTTAAATGACCAGATTTCTGCTTCAACTAATACGCCCCCCCCTTCCCCTCAACTAGCCTTCTCCTTCTTCATACTTTTTTCGTCTTTCACATTGGGGTATGAAAAAAAAGGTAATGAAATAAAACTCCTTTATTATTTCATATAAGGTAAGGATGAGAATCAGCATCAATTAAACTCGATCACCTTATTTTTAAAATTTAAATCAGAATATTTAAATTTAAATGTAAATTAGTTCAGTTTATTTTCGCTGCCTCGAAAAAAAAAGCGACGAGCGATTCACCTCACTAAACAAAAACAAAGCCGGGTGCTACAAGCCGATCAAGATCAAGTCTTCGATATGCAATCTTCGATGCATAAGTTAGCCTTACTCAGTAAACTCCTTGTGATTTCGGAGGCATCATTTCCATGACCAAAGTGTTAAACGACGTATCTCCATCGCGGCGTTTCAAGATTTCCGCTCCCATTTTATTTTTTCGAAGAGAAGCGAGACAGCTCTATAGCTTGTTTATGCAGATTATTTTTCTAACAGAGTAGAAAACTCATGGAAATTTTGAATAAATTACGTCCACAACAAAAATCTGCAACATTACAGACGGAGATAAGTGGTTTTGCACTTAGGCCATTGATACGCATGAAAAAAAAAAAAAAAAAAAAAAAAAAAAACTCGAAAGTACTAATAATATCTTAAACTTTAAGTAATGTACCTGGAGGAAGCTTTGAAGAGCGTCTGTAATTTTTTAACAAGAATAGAAAACACGAAAAAATTAAACATAACGAAAGTAAGATTGTCTGATCCATAGTGCGGATAGCAATAGCGAAGTAGATGACGACTGAAGCATAAAACCGCGTGACAGTGGTCGTATCATTCATGAAAATAATTGGTATTCTATTTAACGCTTTGTCGGGCTCAAAAGCTGAAGCCCTTGCGTGTCAAAAACGACGTGTTTCCATCTAAAGCTGATCGGACCGAGCTCCAACCTCCCGGAGGCGGATCCTGCAAATTGGCAACATGCAGTGGCGTGGCGTGAATTGCGATGTATCGATTGTTATGCCATTTAAACTTATGGTAAAGAATCGATTCTTAAGGTGCCCGCTGCGAACACCCTGTTCATCGATCCTTTTCCATAGGTTTAAATGACAGATCAAACAATATATCGCAAAGCATACCACGCTACTGGCAACGTTGCTTTCTCTCCATTCTAACCTGTATTGAATAATCGATTCTTGTCGGGGCACCTGGCAAGTGGTCATGGACGTAGCAAAGGGGGGGGGGACTGCCCCCCTCCCCCGATGGAAAAATTATCATCTGGCCTCCTTATAAAGTCTGGATGGTGAGAAAAATCTTCGTCGAGGACATTTATCTCTATTACGGTGAGTATGTAGAGTTTTGAATGAAAACACCGTGCTCATCTAGGTAGGATATTCTAAATTTTGCGCCATAAAAGCCTCAAAATGCGGCCAAACAGATTTGAAAGTTCAAAAAAAAATTCACCACCGATTCGATCATGTGGGCGCTCGTGTTGCCTACATTTAAATTGAAGGCGAACTGACAAATGTAAGTGTAATATTTTAACGTTTTGTAAAAAGCTATTTTCTGTCTATGTCCAGAGTAGTCGTGCGATATTGCGACGACAACACTATTCCACTTCAGTCTCAATTCTTTTTTTTTCCTCTTCTTCTTCCTTTTTCTTTTATCTCACTGCTTCTTTTGATTTCGTCATTTTTCCCATTTTTATTTTTCTTTCCTTTATCCTCTCCTTCATCCCATTCCTCCTTCGTATTATTTTTCCTGCTTTTTCCTTCTTTTTCATTTCTTTTTCATCTCCTTCTTCTCTCTCTCTCTTGCTCTTCCTCCTTTTTTGTACTTCTTCATTCTCTTTTCTTCTTCCTCCTCCTCCTATTTTCCTTTCTCTTTTCCTCTTCTCCTTTCCCTCTTCCTTCTCTTTTCATTCTCTTTCTCTCCGATGGGAAATGAAAAGAAGCTGTTTAGTGGAAAACAATGTAAAAGGAGCACTTATGTTAATGACCATTTATTGATACAAATAAGACGCTTTAATCCAAATTTGAACCTAATCTTCATACGACCGAAAGGCACGCCATTAAAAAATTTGAATTTGTTAACGTGATTTTAGCAAAATTTATCATATTAACAACAAATTCGCCGACAGAGACCTTTGAATATTTTCTGGGGGATTTTCTCAAAAAGAAATTAACCGAAAGTGTCCTTGAAACTTCTAAGAATAGTTTTGAATACCTAAATGAAGAAAATTCACGGAAAATTGTAAGGAAAATCGTTTGTTGGTTTCCTTTCAATAAAAATATAATATGAGCAGCGACCTGCAACGTCACAAACGCAGATATGCATTTTTTTACTACATTCATCGATGCAGCACTGGCAATATTGAATCTCTAACACCTATAATCAGCCGCACGCATGGATATCCATATCAATTACCCACATGTACCTATTTTTGAAATGCACTGCTTAACATAACATATCAACCGTTAATGACCTTGGGTAACATCAGCAACTTCGGAAGAATATTGACGGCTGAATGCAAAAATGCGTATCTCCATTGCAACGTAGGAAAACAAATAAAAAAAATTATTACTTCTGATTCTTTGTGATTTGTTTCAGAATGGCAAATTCAGCTCAAGCAGATGCATTGGAATATTAACCCCCCCCCCCCCCCCC